TATGGGTCCAACTATAGGGAAATTTGTATTTAGGTTCTTTCAAGGGACCCTTTGCTATGGCTATTGGTAGAGCACATAATTTCGTAATGTTAAGTTTATAATAGGAGACCGCACTAAATGACTGCAAGGAAGCCGAAATTTCTGTAAGGGAGTTCACAGGGTCAGTAACAGTAAGTATGACATTGTCTGCAAACAGTCCAATTTTATGGGAGGTATCCGCAACTCTGATACCCAAGATCCGTGGGTTAGTACTAATTGCAGTTGCTAGAGGTTCCATTACCAGGGAAAAAATAATGGTAGATAGCGGACAACCCTGCCTTGTTCCATTAGTGATGCTAAAAGGTTCCGATAGAGCGTTAGATGTAAATACTTGTGCTGTAGGGACTGTATACAGTGCCATAATAGCCGACTTTATAAATCTACTGATGCTAAATTTGTTTAAAGTAGCATCCAAGTATTGCCAGTGAACTCTATCAAAGGCTTTCTCGGCGTCCAATGCCAAAAACACAGCCTGTAGCCCACGAGTTTCAATCAAATGCATCAGGTCAAGAATTCAATGGGTGCTGTCTGCTGCCCTGTCTGCCCTTAACAAAGCCTACTTGATCAGCCCTAATAAGGAGAGGAGTTATATTAAGGAGACAGGTTGCTATAATTTTGGCGTATATTTTAAGATCAGTGTTTAGTTGGGAAATGGGCCTAACGTTTTGAGGGCGGTCCAGAGTCTTCCCTGGTTTAGGCAAAGTGACAATAATAGCCTTTACCATCTCGGGTGGAAATGTGGACTTAAGCACAGCTTCATCAAATGCTCTTTTAAGGTGAGGTTCTAAAATAGATTGGAATTTCTGAAAAACCGTCAGCCAGTGGAGATTTCCCTTTTGGTAATGCTTTAATAGCCGCAATTATTTCACTTTCCAGAATGGGTTGGTTGAGTCCCTCTAATTTTTGATGGTCTAGTGTGGGCAATGACAGTTTGTCCAAGAATTGGTTGATCAGGCCTGGTGTAGGTTGTGGAGTGTGAGGGTCATCTTTAAGATTATATAATTGGGAATAGTAACAGCAAAACGCTTCCACTATTTTGTTAGGATGATAAGTGAGTGTATTTGATTATAGGGTCCAGAATTGAGGATAATTTGGATTGTCTAGTTGCTAGATATTTTGCAAGCATCTTACCCACTTTGTTCCCCTGCATGTAAAATGTAGCTTTAGCCTTTTTCAAATTTTGTCCATGTCACCATAGTAAGAGATTCCTAAGTTCAAGTCTAGTGGTTTGGAGTTCCTGCAATACGACTGGAGATAAAGATTGTTTATGTGTAAGTTCAAGTCTAGCTATATTATCAACCGTATCAGAAAAAACTTGATTCCGATTGCGTTTAGCCTGTGATTTCAATAGTAAACATTTTGCCACCCTTTTCCATAGAGAATTTAGAAAGTGGACCTGGTGGACATTGGGTGCGTAGAGATTCACAATGGTATATACAATATTGTTAATTTCACAGACAATAATTAGAAATCTGCCCGTAGTGTACATTGTTTTCTATGAAGATCATTCACATCTATGCAATGCCATTTTGATCCGGTTAAAAAAAGGGTCCTGTATGAGTTTAGTGTGGTGGGAATTTTATCTCCATCTATGCTCAGTACCTTCAGAAATCACATTAAATTCACACCTGTCAAAACACAAATCGCACTGTCAAATTGCATCAATTCACACTGCAGCAGTGTGAACCTATATATCTTCTGTCTGTTATTCTGAGAGTGGATTGGATATTTAGTTTCCTAGCCATTAGCCAGTCATCTAGCTGGTTATTTATATTTACCACTGCATATAGATATTCAAGAATCAATTGTCCTTTTTTTTTTAACTTTACATATTAACTTAATTATACAACACACTTTTTTGAGGTTTTCATCTGATTAATCAAAACAATAATCAGCCAACTAATTGAGTATAAAAATAATCCTTAGTAGTTGCAGCCCTAGTTTGCTTGCTCTGCAGGTTTCCTTGCACTCATTGTAAAAAGAGCTGTGCTGGCCAGGGGGAAAATGAAAGCCATGTGGTGAGCATACCTGGAAATTGTCCAGTGTTGAGGAACATGAAATTTGGGCAGAGCAAGAGACAGGGACAATTAGTGCACTAAACTGAAACTTAACCACTAGGGGACCGCCCACAGTACATCTGTCACGGTCTGGATCAGGTTCAGAGACCAGTTGCTACTGCAGTGTAAGGCTTACCTGAAACCAGCAGGGTACCAACCCAGCGGATCACCCTGGGAATGATGCAGGCTCACCTGAGGTGCGGGGTCTAAGTATTAGCCGGTTTTCCCCAGAGCTCCTAATGGTGGAGATGGATTTGGCTGCGTGCGAATACCAGGTCGCAGATCTCAGGATCACCCCACCAGGGAATGAGCAAGCTGGAACCCAAAAGCGGATCAAACAGATTAGGGATCAAACAGAAGCGGAGTCAGTCACAAGCCAAAGGTCGGTCACAAATGGTAGTAGATAGGATGAGGCAGAATCATAGTCAGTAGCAAGCCAAAGGTCAGTAACGAAGATGTAGACAGCAGCAGGAACGGTAAGCGGGATATTGGTTGAGAAGGCACAATAATCTGGCAAGGAGGAAGTGCATGGACATGGCTTTTATAAGGAAGTTCATGGGAGGAGCAAGGAGTTCAAGGTTCAAGAGAAATCAAGGCACAAGGCAGGATTATCAAATAGATCAGGCAGAATGTTGTCCAGTATCCCAGGTAGCTCAGTGAGAAGAAACATTGCCTCTCACCGCAGAAGGCCTAGGTTCAATCCCAGGCTCTGACAGTACTCCCCTCCTCACAGGACATCCCCTGGATGTCTTAGGACCAGGCTTGTGGGGAAACCTCTGATGGAATTCTCTTGTTAATCTAGGAGCATGAACATTTTCCTCAGGCTCACAAGAATTTTCCTCTTGCCCATATTCTTCCCATTGGACAAGATATTGCAATTTTCCTCTAAACATCCTAGAGTCAAGAATCTTCTCCACCACATATTCTTCTTCACCCTGTACCTCAACAGATGGAGGAGGTGGAAGAATTCTTCCAGAGAAAGGATTTTCCTGAAATGGTTTGAAAAGTGATACATGAAAAACGGTGATTTTTCATACTGTCAGGAAGTTTTAAGCAAGAGGTGACTGGGTTGATCTGAGCAGACATCTGGAAAGGTCCCACAAACGTTTGGCCCAACTTTGCAGATGGAACATGAACCTTCAGATTTTTAGTAGATAGCCAATCCTTGTCGCCCACATGAAAGGTAGGAAGTGATCTGCGATGACTGTCGGCGGCCTTTTTATAAACATTCCTGAGCCCCCCTCCAAGGTCTCGATCAACTTCGCCTGAATCTCCTGCAGTTACTCTGTTGGCAACAGCAGGAATTTGAGTTGCGATAGGGAGATCAGGAATAAAAACTGGATGATACCCCATATTGAGGAAAAAAGGGCTTTGGGAGCTGGAGCTATGTTTAGCATTGTTATAGGCAAACTCTGCCATAGGCAAATAGTCCACTCAGTCATCCTGAAGATAACTGACAAAACACCAAAGGTACTGTTCCAAAGTTTGGTTGGTCCTCTCTGTCTGACCATTAGACTGTGGATGAAAAGCAGAGGACAGGTTAACAGTTACCCCTAAAGCTGAACAAAAGCTTTTCCAAAATTTTGATGTAAACTGTACTCCTCTATCAGATACCGATTCATCAAGAATTCCATGTAATTTAAAAACATCTCGAACTATCAACTCCGCAGTTTGTTCAGCAGACGGTACCCCCTTAACAGGTATGTAGTGGTTTATGTAAGAATTTATTTGAAATATGTAGGGTGGTGTCCTCTCCCTTCAACAAAATATCGCAGTGCCTCCTGCCGTTGAAATACGGCAAATATTTAATGAACCAATAATTTGGACACCTTAATAATTTGATCACCACTTAATAATATACCTTGAGTTCTTTTAGCCAGTATGATTTCGTACCATATACACAAAAATTGCCTTTTTAATAAATAAATAAATACTGTATTTTCCAGCGTATAAAACGACTTTTCAACCCATGAAAATCTTCTGAAAAGTCGGGGGTCGTCTTATACACCGGTATACGGCGAGCCGGTGTCAGGGCGGCACTTTTTCGAGGGGCGGCGCGACGCCGCCCCCCCTCCTCCTCCAACGGACACTAAGTACAGGGGTGGGCAGAGGGGCTGCTGTACCTTACCTGGCTCCGGTCCCACGACGATCCGGTCCAGGAAGCATGGCTGCTCCTTCTTTCAGTTCGGCCCTCGATGGTCGCGTGGCCGCTCGGCTCCGCCTCCTCACCAGTGATTGGGCGCCAGCACTGGAAAGGCACACAGGCGACCAATCACCGGCAAGGAGGCGGCCGCCGAGCGGCCCCGCGAAAATCGAGCGGCCGAACTGAAAGAAGGAGCAGCCGCTCCTCTCCCCCACTGACACCAACGATGAGGCACTGTTCCTCCCCCACTGACACCAATGATGGGGCACTATTCCTCCTCCCCACTGACACCAATGATGGGGCACTGTTCCTCCCCCACTGACACCAACGATGGGGCACTATTCCTCCCCCCACTGACACCAATGATGGGGCACTATTCCTCCTCCCCACTGACACCAATAATGGGGCACTATTCTCCCCACTGATACCAACGATGAGGCACTGTTCCTCCCCCACTGACACCAACGATGGGGCACTGTTCCTCCCCCACTGACACCAACGATGGGGCACTATTCCTCCTCCCCACTGACACCAACGATGGGGCACTATTCCTCCTCCCCACTGACACCAACGATGGGGCACTATTCCTCCTCCCCACTGACACCAACGATGGGGCACTATTCCTCCTCCCCACTGACACCAACGATGGGGCACATTTCCTCCTCCCCACTGACACCAATGATGGGGCACTATTCCTCCTCCCCACTGACACCAATGATGGGGCACTATTCCTCCTCCCCACTGATACCAATGATGGGGCACTATTCCTCCCCCCCACTGACACCAACGATGGGGCACTATTCCTCCCCCCCACTGACACCAACGATGGGGCACTATTCCTCCCCCCCACTGACACCAACGATGGGGACAGCACTATTCCTCCCCCCCCACTGACACCAACGATGGGGCACTATTCCTCCCCCCCCACTGACACCAACGATGGGGCACTATTCCTCCCCCCCCCCCTGACACCAACGATGGGGCACTATTCCTCCCCCCCCCCACTGACACCAACGATGGGGCACTATTCCTCCCCCTCCACTGACACCAACGATGGGGCACTATTCCTCCCCCCCCCCACTGACACCAACGATGGGGCACTATTCTCCCCACTGACACCAACGATGGGGCACACTATTCCTTCCACTGATACCAGTGATGGGGCGCTATCTTCCCACTGACACCAATGATGGGGCGCAATTCCTCCCACTGACACCAATGATGGGGCGCAATTCCTGCCACTCCTGCTGAACAGGAAGTGGCTGGAGCATACCAATGATGGGGCGCTATTCCCCCCACTGACACCAATGATGGGGTGCTATTCCTCCCACTGACACCAATGATGGAGCGCTATTCTTCCCACTGACACTGATGGGACACTATTCCTCCCACTGACACCAATGATAGTGGCACTATTCCTCCCACTGACACCAATGATGGAGCACTATTCCTCCCACTGACACTAATGATGGAACACTATTCCTCCCACTGACACCAATGATGGGGCACGATTCTTCCCACTGACACCAATGATGGGGCACTATTCCTACCACTGACTAATGATGGGGCACTATTCCTCCCACTGACACTAATGATGGGACACTATTCCTCACACACTGACACTAATGATGGGGCACCATCATTGGTGTCAGTGGGAGGAATAGTGTCCCATCATTGGTATCAGTGGGAGGAATAGTGCCCCATCATTGGTGTCAGTGGATGAAATAGTGCCCCTTAGTGGATAATAGCATATTGTGACAGTCCAAGAAGTTTGTTTGTTAATCACACTTTCCAAGGTTTTGGGTGAGTTCTCAGACCTTCAGTTTCGTCTCATCATTGTTGTTTTGGTCAGGTGTGATGACTCATAGTAATGTTTGATTTTATAATTAACTTTCCTGCCATTGAAATATCTTTTGGCTTCCCATAGATCATGGCATTTGTTTTGAGGAGACATAGGTCTGCCAGGTCTAATCCACATCAGATCCCTCATTGTCTTTTTTGGGACTTTGTTTGATCACCTGGAGGCATTTCAATAGTGGTGTGTGTTTCACTGTCCTTCAACAAGTTTCTCCCACTCACTGGTTTTTGTCATCTAGGAGAAGGTCACTTGAATTCCAACCAAGAAAGGTTAACCCCTCACAGACAGCTGGGCTTCTTACTTTTGGAATAAAATCATATTTTTAATGAATAGTCCCCCAAAAGTCACTACAGGTATGAAATGAGCCATTTTAGTAAGGCGGTCGACGACTACCAAGATAGTAGTCATTTCTTTTGAGGGAGGTAATTCGACTACAAAGTCCATAGAAATTGACCCCCAAGGTCTTGATGGAATAGGTAGTGGCTGGAGCAACCTCAAAGGAGAAGCTCTGGGTGTCTTATGACGTGCACACGTCAGACAAGAGGCCACGTAGCGTTTGATATCCTTCTTGTAACTAGGCCACCAGAAGCGAGGGAATGAATTCCAGATTTCTATGGTCAGTGAGAACAGTTACAGGGTGATTAGCCCCTTCTAGCAGATGCCTCCATTCAGAAAAGGTTTCCTTAGTTGCCAGTAGCTCTTTATTCCCAATGTCATAATTCCTTTCGGCTGAGGACATCAAATGAGAAAAGTAGGCACAAGGATGAAGCTGCATTTTTTTCATCACTTCGCTGAGACAGGATAGCTCCCACGGCAGAATTTGAAGCATCCACTTCCACTATAAAGGGTAGTTAAGGATCAGGATGTACCAAAATTGGTGCGGAAGTGAAAAGAGTTTTCAGCCTTTCAAACGCAGCCTGTGCCTCAGGGGTCCACATGAAGGGTACCCCCTTCTTCGTCAGCTGTGTGATTGGAGCTATCACTTTAGAAAAATTCCTTATAAATTTTCTGTAAAAGTTGGCAAACCCAACGAAATTCCTTAACATTTCCAGGGGCTGACCAATCTACCACTGCTTTGATCTTCTCGGGATCCATGCTCATTACCTCTGGAGAAATGATATAGCCTAAGAACTGGATCTGGGTTTGTTCAAACTCACATTTCTCCAATTTAATGTAGAGTCTATTCTTCCTTAATCTTTCAAAGACTGTGCAAACATGTTTGCGGTGCTCCTTCCAATTACCGGAAAAGATAAGGATATCATCCAGATAGGCAATCACAAATTGGTCCAACAGATCACGAAAAACATCATTGATAAAATGCTGAAACGTTGTAGGGGCGTTGCAAAGTCTAAACGGCATCACCAAGGATTCGAAATGCCCATACCTGGTTCTGAAAGCAGTTTTCAATTTGTCTCCTCGATGAATGCGGACAAGTTATTTGCCCCTCGTAAATCAAGTTTTGTAAAGATCTTGGCAGAACGAAGTCTTTCCAACATTTCAGGGATCAAGGGTAATGGATAGCATTTTTTTATAGTGATTTTATTTATGTCTCTGTAGTCAATGCATGGACGCAAGGTGGAGTCTTTCTTTTCAACGAAGAACAGGGCTGCCCCCCCGCAGGAGCAGTTGTGTCTAATAAAGCCCTTCTCCAAATTCTCATTGATCCACACCCTGAGTACTTTTAATTCAGGTTCCGACAGATTGAACAGGCGGCCAAAAGGTATTTCTACCCCTTGGAGCAGCTCAATGGGGCAATCATATGGGCAATGAGGGGGTAATTTATCTGCATTTTTCTTGTCACAGACATCCCAGAACTCATGGTAATGTGGGGGCAAATTGTCATATGACTGGATAGCCACTATATCACTTTGCGCTTCCTTGGTCGGTGACAAACCTGGTCGGCAAGGTTTTTTGCAATATTTTTCACAGTGGGGGGGACGTAAACTTTATAGTCCGTGCTCCCCAGTTGATGGAAGGATTGTGAGTGGAGAACCAAGGAATTCCCAGGATGATGGGAAACTTGGGTGACATAATCAGCTGAAGGCTGATGGTCTCACAATGGTCAGCCTCAAACAACAGTACCAGTGGAACCGTTTTATGGATAACAGGTCCTGAAGATAAGGGTGACCCATCAACTGTCTCCATATCAATAGGGGTAAATGTATCTCTTGCTTGAATATTATTGTTGTTGGCAAACTCTATATCCATAAAATTCCCCCCAGCCCCGGAGTCCAGCATAACTGAGCAGGAGATTTCACAGCCCTCAGATACAAGTTTAATAGGGATAACAAAATGAGAGAGCAGTGAGTTCACTTTATTCTCTTCAGAAATCAGTGGGGAGGCAGACTGGCTTATAGCGTTTATTTGTTCAGGTGCAATCACATCAGTCACAGCAACTGTTCTTCTAACTTTGTTAGGACAATTAATTGCATAATGACCCCGAATCCCCACAATATAGGCATAAATTCTCTGAACGTCTTCTCTCTTTCTCCTGAATGGAGATGGATCTCTTGATCGCATCAAGCTGCATAGGCTCAGGGGTGTTTGAACCCAGAGAGACTCTTGAATCCTGCTGAACAAATGGACTAGCAGAGAGATGCATGCCCCTATTACCTCCAAACATTCCCAGCCTCTCCTTCCTCCTTTCTGTAAGTCTTTGATCGATTCGGATACACAATTGGATGAATTCCTCAAGATCATTAGGTATATCTACTCTGGCAAGCTCATCCTTTACCTGTTCAGAAAGCCCTTGGCGGATCTGGCTTTTTTGTGCTGCAGGGTTCCAAGTGGTATCTGCGATCCAACTTCTGAACTCGGCTGTGTATTCAGCGACCAAGCGTCTACCCTGCCTCAGACTATGCAATTTTGCTTCAGCAGTAGCACAACGGTTGGGATCATCAAAAACCTGATTCATCGCGGTCAAAAAGGTATCAAAATCATTCAACATGCCATGGTTTTGCTCTATATAAGGGGAGGCCCAAGCTAGAGCTTCCCCAGTCAGAAGCCCAATAATAAACATTACTTTCTTTTTCTCTGAAGGAAATGCAGCAGGGTGCATTTGGAAATACATACGACATTGATTAAGGAAACCCCTGTAGTGGCGGCGGTCTCCATTAAACTTAGATGGTTGGGGCATATGTGAGCTAGTATCATATCGGTTCAGCAGTTGTCTCTGCAGAGCCTGAATCTCCCCCTGTTGCCTATCCACAATGCTTTCTAGTTTGGCAACTTTTTTTTGATGGGTAACCCCGAATTCCTGTAGCTCAGCAATTTGCTGCCTAACGTTTGCCATAGCGGTGTCCATGTTTAGGCCAGATTATTCTGTCAGGGTCAGGATCAGGTTCAGAGACCAGTTGCTACAGCAGTGTAAGGCTTACCTGAAACCAGCAGGGTTGGTACACCAGCGGATCACCCTGGGAATGACGCAGGCTCACCTGAGGTGCGGGGTCTAAGTATTAGTCGGTTTTCCCCAGAGTTCCTAATGGTGGAGATGGATTTGGCTGCATGCTAATACCAGGTCGCAGATCTCAGGATCACCCCACCAGAGAATGAGCAAGCTGGAAACCAAAAGCGGATCAAACAGATTTGGGATCAAACAGAAGCGGAGTCAGTCACAAGCCAAGGGTCGGTCACAAATGGTAGTAGATAGGATGAGGCAGAATCGTAGTCAGTAGCAAGCCAAAGGTCGGTAACGAAGATGTAGACAGCAGCAGGAACGGTAAGCGGGATATTGGCTAGGAAGGCACAATAATCTGGCAAGGAGGAAGTGCATGGACATGGCTTTTATAAGGAAGTTCATGGGAGGAGCAAGGAGTTCAAGGTTCAAGAGAAATCAAGGCACAAGGCAGGATTATCAAATAGATCAAGCAGAGTGTTGTCAAGCATCCCAGGTAGCTCAGTGAGAAGAAACATTGCTTCTCACCGCAGAAGCGCCCCCTGTAGGCAGGATCACATTTATAAACGTCATCCTGTTTGCATACATGGTAGGGGACGTGCGCTACCACCCTGCCCGCGGCACCGATCGTCCCGGCCAGTGATTGCCCGGCGATTGCTGGCAAACACTGACAAGAAGCACAGCTGCATTGTTTTCAATGCAGCTCTCTTCCCTGTCAGTTTCCAGCACACTGTTCTGGAGAGCAGAGCTTAGCTTTCTGGGACAGTGTGTAACTGTGAAGCACCCCCCTCTCCCGCCCCCTAGTGAAACACTCCCCTCGCACAGTTAACCCTTTGATTGCCTAAAATGTTAACCCCTTCCTCCCCAGTGCCATTAGTACAGTATCAGTGCTTTTTTTTGTGCTGATCACTGTATTGGTGCCACTGGGGATGTCAGTGACCCCAAGTCAGTTCCCTCCCAGTGTCCGAATGTCTGCCGCAGTCCTGCCATAAGTTGCTGGTTGCCGCCATAAGT